ATACACACACACACACATACACACATACACACACACATACACACATACATACACACACACATACATCTGGACATTTGCTCATAATTGAATATACATATGTTCTAGATGAAAATGAGTCCATATAACCTTGTTTTGAAAAATTGAAAATCGTCACCAATGCAAAGCTTCCTCATGAGGAAGCAAAATTACTAATTTTTGTACAAAAATGTTCGTACTTAGAAATTTGAATTTCTCTCATTATTTATCATCAATATATTTTATTAATTTATTTATTACCTATCTATTAAATAATAGTTTTAACAATATTAAAAATTTAATTTTCAATAAAAATGAAACGAACTTTAAGTAAACAAATAAATTGAGAAATGAAAGTATTCCTTAATTTTATAGACTTTAAAAAAAACCACCTGTATTTTTTATTACTCTTCAGTTTCTTTTAACCAATTTATAAGATGAAACTTTTCTCTCAGGAAAATTGAGAAAAATGGTTTAAGAAATGTTGCTTAAATATATACAATATAAGTAAATAAATAAATCCATCTTTTGTTATATGAAATTAATGTAAATTTGTGTTGTTTCAAAAAAATAATCTCTGACCCCTATATTTTTACTAATAATAATTTTTATATCAAAAAATTAATCAACAGATTTTTAAATTTGTTAAAAATACAATATAAAAGAAAATTTATAAAAAAAACAACAAATCAAATTGTAAGAAAAAGTTTAATAATAAATAAGAGTAAGAAAATTGAAATTCTTTTGGACGTTGAAAGAAAAGAAAAGAAAGTTTATAAATTGTAAAAAGAAATAAAAAAAAATATTTTTTGTTTGGTTAGGAAAATAAGATGTTGAATTAAAAGAAAAAATACACACAGAAAAAAATGCGAATGGTAAAAACAACCACATTTGTGTAGTCAGAAAAAAAGTAGTTAAAACTACCATATTCAGCAGCATTTTAACTACACTTCCTCAGTTAGTGGAACCAAAATGAAGTAGTTGGTTTTATGTAGTTAAAATAACTACTTTACGTAGTTGAAATAACTAACAGATGCTTGTAAATGGCTCAACTATAGTGTAGTAGTAAAAACTATTGTTAAAAATAGTTAATTTTACTATTGTGGTAGCAAAAATAACTATTTTGTATTAGTTGCAAACAAAATGAGACTTACTGTTTTTATACAGTAAATACAACCTCTGAAAGTTGTTACTTTTATGATTTATGTAGTTAAAACAACTATTTCTTACTAGTTGCAGAGAAAGAAAGAAATTTACTGTTTATATAGTAAAATCAATTGTTGAAAATAGTTATTTTTTACTATTTATGCAGTTGAAAAGATCATTTTTTTCTACAGAGAAAAAACGTGAGTGGTAAAAGCATCCACATATGTGCAGTTAAAAAAATATAGTTAAAACTACCATATTCAGCAGCATTTCAACTAAACTTCCATAGTTAGTGGAACTAAAATTGAATAGTAGGTTTTATGTAGTTAAAATTACTACTACACGTTATGATTGTGAATAACTCAACAATAGTGCAGTAGTAAAAATATCCATTTCTTGCTATTTGCAAAATAAATTAAAATTTACTGTTCCAAAGAGTAAAAACAACCGCTGGAATTTGTTATTTTCGTGTTTAATGTAGTTAAAAGAACCAATTCTTACTAGCTTTTAATAATTTATCTCTATGGTGGTAAGAAACATTTATTTTTATAACTACAAAAGTCATAAAAGTAACAATTTTTATGTTATTTTTACTATATGAAAATAGTAAGTTTAATTTTTTTATAACTAGTAAAAAGTGGATAATTTTACTACAGAAATTCTGAAAATAACTATTTTCAACAGTACTTTTAACTACTGCACTATCGTTGAGTCATTTAAAATCATATGCTGGCTACATTTCAACTAAGTCCTTGAGCTTAAAAAATTAGTTACTGCAACTAAACGGAGTAGTTATTATGACTGAATCTAAGAAGAATGTCCTCAAGTACAATGCCAGTCATCGTAGCGTGCGAGCGTGGTTAGGTGGTTAGGTTATCGGTTTGCGAATGTTAGGGTCGTGCGTTCAATCCCCGGCGTTTGGGGATTTTTCTCTGTTAGGTGTATAAGAATTTAATATATAGATTATATATGAACAAAAATAGGTAAGAGAAAATATAAAAAAATGGACCTCAATAATAATAAAAAACAAATAAATAATTTCATTTTACTACTTTAAATAGTTAATTTAACTATTTTTTACAGTTGTTACAACTACAATTTGTTACGGGCGCCTATAGGAACTATGAAAATTTAGTAACTGCAACTAAATGAAGCAGTTAGTATGACTAACAACAAATAGTTAAGATAACTGTTTTAGTAGTTAAATTTACTGTAAAAATGGTATTTATTACTACATTTTACAGTTAGACTAACTATTCTGTCATAGTTCATTTTACTAAATAATGTTACGGGCGCCTATAGGAACTACAGGAAATAGTAAAAAAGTAGTCAAATTTACCATATATTTTTTTGTGTGCATTTTTTTGCAAATTATAAACTGTCTTTAGTTTTCTTTCTCATTCTCTATTTCAAAAAATTATTTTTTATTTCTTATTTCCAAGTTGATTATTATTTTATTATTTATTATTATATTCTTTCAATTTCAAAAATACAATATTGTTAAAACTACAACTTCTTATTTCTTATGTCTTTTGTTTATACTTTTGTTTCTCGTTAACTTTAGATAGATTTTATCTTTTATTATTATATTATAATTATTTTTATTTTATAATTAATTCAAAATTGTAATGACAAATAGAAATCATCAGAATTTTTTTCACTTATTTTCATTAAAAGACTAAAATTTTGTTAAATATTATGTTTTGTCAAATTATTGAAATTATGCAGATTTTTGTTCTTTACTTCTAAACAAAATTAGAAAATTGTTAAACACCTGTGATTAAGAAATATAAAATTTATTTATTTTGCATTATTTTTCTTTATGAATCACAACTTTTTTAACAAAATTTTTCTTTTTTTTGAAAATAATTGAATTTTTGCAATTATTTGTAATTTCTCCAAAATTGAATTTTTGTAGTGTTTTCAACAAAAATTTAAATTAGAAAAAATTTTGCCAAGAATACAATTTTAATTGCATTTTCTCGAAAGAATTCAATTATTGAAAAAAAATTGATAACATTCTTGAAATGAATTCAATTATTTTCAAATTTTTTTTTATAAATACTTGACAAGAATTCAATGATTTTCAGTACATAGACAATTTAATTATTTCTGAAAATAAATGAATTCTTGAATAGAATTCATACAAACGAATAATTGAATTTTTGCAAAATTTAAAAAAAAGTGTATTTTTAAGGAAAACTTTATTAAAATTGTATTTAGAATACAATATTTAAAATACAATTTTATTTACAAATACAATTTAAAATACAATAATTAAAATCCAGTGAAAAATTTACTATTTATTGATATTATTGAATTCTTTCGATGAATCTTTTAAAAAATGTTTAAAAATAATTTAATTTACAGTGAAATTCAATTAGAATTGTATTTAAAATTGCAAAATAATTAAATTACAGCGAAAATTTCATTGTTTTTAAAAATAATTAAAGTCTTGAATTGAATTTTATTAAAAGTTTTTAAATAATTGAACTCCTGTGAAAAATTTAATTATATTTTAAAATAATTGAATTTTCTCGGAGAATTTTTATAAGAAAATTGTTAAACAACTGTGGTAAAGAAATATAAAATTTATTTATTTTGCATTATTTTTGTTTATGAATCACAATTTTTTTTTAACAAAATTATTATTTTGTTTTAGAAAAAGAAGAAAAATATTTCCACAATTCCTATTTTTAATCTTATTTTTGGAACAGAATTTTCCACAGGAATTAAGACATTAAAAAGTTTCAAATTCAAACCTTTTTTAAATTAAACAACTTATGTTTTTCTAATAATTAAAAATGACCGAGAGATAAAATCATTATTTTATATTTTAAGAATATTGTTACTGTAGCTCCATCAAAATTATTTTTATTATTTTAATTCAAGTATTATTTTCTAGAATTTAAAATTATTTTTCATTAAAATAATAATTGAATTCCTTAAACAAATTTTATTCCTATTTATGAGAATAATTGGATTCCTATGTGAAATTTTTATTATTTATTTTATTTTATTAGGTACATTTTTTTATTTTATTTATTTAATTTTTTTTTAAATAATTGAATTCTTTTTGGGAAATTTTATTAAAATAGTAAATATTGAAAATCATTGAAATTAGAAAAATGCATTTTATTTTTGAAAATAATTAAAATTAAGACAAGAATTTTTTTGACATTTATGAAAAAAATTGAACTTTGGAGAAGAATTTTGTTATTTATAAAGATACCTAATTGGAGTTTTTACGAAATTTTCTTTTCAAATTTTATACATAGTTGAATTTTATAATTATAAGAAGAATTTAATTTTTTTATAATAATAATTGAATTTCTGCTATTATTTGTAATTTCTCAAAAATTGCATTTTTTTAGTGTTTTCAACAAAAATTTAAATTAGAAAATTTTCAAATTCTATTATTTTTAAAATTACTAATTTTAATTAAAAAAGGTATTAAAGAAGTTAGTTATTGTTGCTAGTTCAAATTTAAAAAACGTAAATAAAATACAATAAATCTTTATCAAAAGCAACTTGACGACAATAATAATCAAGAGCCAGGACAATTTTCTAAATAAAATCTCAAGATTAATTACAGTCAATTTGTAATATGAAAATGTGTCTTGAGGCTAAATAAAATAACAACAACAATAATAATAATAATAATAATAATAACAAGCTCTTCCTGTTTTATTGCGCCTAAAGGCAAAAAGCAATTAAACACCATTCCCCCTCCTCATTTCTAATTGATAATAAACATTATATAAAATTTTGCAAGTGATTTTCTCTCATCTTGCAAGGTATTCTCGGGAAATTAGTAATTTAAAATAAATCCACTTTACCTAATACTGTAATGGAACTGGAAACTAGCATGGCCAACAGCCAGACGAGCGCGATCTTGATTCCAACCAGTCGTTTGGTTGAGATGTGCCTCGTTTTCAGTGGATTTCGAATGCCGAGATAACGTCCCAGAGAAATGAAGCACATGTGCATGATGCTTGCGGAACAAGCCAACACGTCACATGTCACGTACACGTTGCACCACACCACTCCAAATGGCCAGTACCCTGAAGCACAATCGATTATTATAATTAACGGACCAGATAAAATCAGAGAAGCGTTTCTATATACACACACACATACATATACATATATATTCAAATTGTTCTCTATTACACCCTTCAAGGAACAACGAGGGGTAGAAAAAAATTTAAAAAAAAAAAAAATTTTCCCTAGAATATCCTCTCATCCTTTTTTTTATTTCTATTTTCCCTTGGAATTTCTATGTTTAAAATTTAACTAGGTCGTGAACTCTTTACCATATATGTAATTTATTTTAATGTATTTTTAATATATATTTAAATAAAAAATATAAATGCTCCTGTCTGTCATTTATTTAAATATTTCTAATCAGTAACATAGAAATCAAAAATTTCTTTTTATTTATTTATTTAAGTTTGGAGGCATGAAAGATGTCCTTTACAAAAGATATGATAATTTTCTATTATATTTTTCTTCTTTGGTTCTTTATTTATAATTTTCAAAAAAGTAAATTAAAAAAAAATTTATTTACAATACTCAATTTTATTTTTATTTTTCAAAAACTATAATTAACTATAATAATCGTCGTATTCATTCATTCCTATAATATTATGTATACTTCTTTATTTTTTCCACTATTTTTTTCATTTAATAATATTTTTTTATTTTTATATATTTAAGTATATTTTGTGTAGAATTTTTGTAAATAATTAAATTTTTCAATATCAATTAAAAAGCGCGCGTTATGTATGCTAGTTAACTATATTAATCTCCGGATTCATTCATTCATTCTGTCCGCAGTTTGAAGTTAGTTTCTGTGTATGCCTTTGTTTTTCTTTCCTTTAAAAAATATTGTTTGACAAATCGAAATATGCAGATGTTTTTTCTAGATTTACAATAAAATAATATTACAAATTAGAAAATTTAAAAAAAATTATGATTAACAATTTGAAAATTTACCCATTTTGTTTGTTATATATGCTTTTTTCTATAACAAATTTCGTTTGACTGATCTAAATTATTATATGCAAATTATTCTCCTTTTTATTTATAAAAAATACTAGAAAATTGTAAATTGTTAAAAATTTTTGATTAAGAAGTAGGAAATATACCCATTTTATGCATAATTTTTATTTCTCAATAACAATATTGTTTACAAACTCATTCTTTTATTTTGGGAGAAAAAACATTATACATATTCCCGTTTCTTAATATTTTTGTAGAAAATTCTCAATTTTTATAAGCAAATAATTTGCATCAATTCTATTTCTTAATTTCAATTGTTTTAATATAATTCAAAGCTTTTTTTAAAAAGAAAGGAAAAAAATGTTTATAAATTATATTTGTCAATTAGGAAATTTAATTAAAAATATAACTGAAAATTTTTGAATTTTTAGAAAATAAAGGAAAAAATTTCATTGAAAAAATGTTCTGTTAAATTTATTTACAAATATCTTTAATTGTAAAATTATTCAAAAATAATATTTTCTTTTTTAAATATTTTAAATAATTAATTAATATTTTTCAAATCAATTTTTATTAAAAAGTCCAACGAGAATTCAATTATTTAAATACAAAAGTAAATTATTTATGGAATAATTGAATGTTTCTTGAAATTGAATTCACATAAAGAATGTGAATATTTTTTTATCAAAAAATTTTTAAATAATTGAATTCTTTCAACGAATTTTAATAAAATTTTTAAGAATTATTACAATTTTTAGGGAATTCGATTAAAATTGTATGAAAAATAATTGAAATTTTAGAAAAAATGTATGCAAATTCTATTTTAAATAATTGAATTCATGTGAAATTTTTATTTTCTTGGAAAATAAATTAATGTTCGTGTAGAATTTTGTCAAAATTATTTTTAAATGATTGAATTCTATTGGAAAATTTTATTATAATAGTAGAGTATTGAAAACCATTGAATTAAGAAAAAATTTTTGAAAATAATTGAAATTTTGAAATGAATTTTATTAAAATTTTTGAAAATTATTGAATTTTTGCATGAATTCGATTAAAAATTGTATTAAAAATAATTAAAATTCTGCAATGAGTTTTATTATTTATGAAAATAATTGAATTATTGAGAAGAAATTTATAAAAAATTTGTAAATATTTGAATTCCTGTGAAATTTTTATTATTTATGCAAATATTGAAATGTTTGCGTACAATTTTATTAAAATAATTGTTTTTAAATAATTGAATTTTATTGGCTAATTTTATTAAAATAATAGATATTGAAAATCATTGAAATGAGGAATTTTTTTGAAAATAATTGAAATTTTGACAAGCATTATATTAAAATTTTTTAAAATAATTAAATTATGAAGAAGAATTTTTTTATTTATAAAGATAATAATTGGTATTTTGTCAAGATTTTTTTTTAAATTTTGAACATAATTGAATTTTGTGATAAGAATTTTATTACTTTTGAAAATAATTGAATTTCTACATTTGTAACTTCACCAAAATCAAATTTTTTAAAATTAATAATTCTTGTCTAGATTATTTTAACTGAAATTCTGTTTTAAATAAATAATTAGATATTTTTAATAATTTTTTTCTCCAAATTAATTTCAAGATTTCAATTAAATTATTTTCAATAAAAATAAGAATTTTTTTTTAAATCAATTTAATTCTAATAATTTTTCTCACAAATTATTTTCAAGAGTTCAATTCAATTATTTTCAAGAATTTTGAAACTTTAATTCTTCTCTAAATCAAATTTATTTAATTTTTGATAAATTTCTTCGAGAATTTAATTACTTATTTAAAAAAAAGTTTACTTAAAATTCGTCTAAAATTAAATTGTTTTTAATTGAAAATTTATTTAAATAAAATGATTTTCAAAATAATTTAATTTTTAGGACAAAGGTAATAATATTTTTAGACATGATTATTTTTTGGATTAATAATTAATTCAGTTCAAAATTGGTAAATATCAATCTTCCTCTTAATTATTCGCAAATATTAATTAAATTATTTTTCAATTAATATTAATTAAACACAAACTGACTATTAAATTATTCACAAATGGAAATGGATTTAATTTAGAAATGTTAATTCTAAGATTTTTTAAATACAATAAAAGATCTCGCAATAAATAAATAGGAGAATGATGATTAGATTTCTTAAAAGTTGTCCAATTTAGAATTTCAGTGCAGGTGAAGCAGTTACTTGAATATCTCAAGGCAGAAAACGCAATCTTGGATACTCGTTGCATTTTCAAAGTTGTTTCTGAATTATTTATGGTTCGACCATTAAAAATATCATGTTAATTTTGAAGATGAAATTATTCTCATTAATTATGATATTACTAACAATTTTAATTTTTAATAAAATAACAAAAATTAAAAAAAAATTATTTTTATTAAAAAAAGCTTTTAAATATATTTTACTATATTATTATATTGTGACAATATTATAATAATTATATCATAAATTGTAAGACATTTACATATTGTATTATATACACTTCATATACAATTCCTTCGTTGAATTGTTTCGCTGAAAGTTCGCCTGGAGAATTATAAACTTGATACACGAAACAAATATTTGTAATATTGTAATATTTAATTATATGTGATAATTAGAAGGGAATTAAAAATATTTCAAAAGTTCTAGAATTGACTGTATATTAATTAATTTAACACATTTTGGTGAAGGTTTGCATATTTTCAAATATAATTATACATATATATAGAAGTTTGTTGCAGTTAGAATTTACTTATTTATAAACATAGAAGTGAAAATTCAATTATATTTCACTAGAAATTTCACTATTTTCGTCGACCATTCAATTGTTTTTGTATGAAAGTTCAATCAAGCACGACGATTGGAATTCGTCTGCTTCCTGTAGGATTTTAGTTACAGTTTTTTTTTTAACAAAAAATAGAAAAAAAAGTGCCAAACAAAAAACTATTTTCAATTACATTCAAACCAGTTTGGAAAAAGTTTGAAACTTTAGGAAAAAAAAATTTTTCCAAATTTCCGTTCTATGGGAAAAATTATCTTTTGTAGAAAAATTATCGCTTGAAAAAAAAACGAAACAAATGGAAAAAATATTAATAAAAATTGAAATAAAAATATTAAAACTAAATTGATTAAAAATTTTAAAATATTGAATATGAAAATGAAAAAAATTTCCAAATTTTTCCTCTGTGAAGAAAATAATATTGTCTTCTGCCAAAAATTACCTTTTCAAAAAAAAATTAAGGTTTGAAAAAAAAAAATGTTTTAAATATTAAGACAAACATTTAGAAAAATTTTTAAAAAATAATAAAACGAGATGCCTGAAATAAAAAATTAAAATATTGAATTTTAAAACGAAGAAATTTTCAAATTTTTTTCCATACATTTCAATAACAGAATTTTATTCAGTACAAAAACAGTGAAATTCTAGAGGAAGAAATATTCTTTTGAATATTAATAGAAAAAGATGAATAACCGCAATAAAACGAAAAGAATACTTTTTATTTAAGTTGAACGAAATTGGATAAAGAGTTTCAAGTTTTGCATTAATCGATTGTATCGAATAATTGTTGTTGGGGAGAGAGAGAGAGAAAAATAGAGAATAATCATTCGTGAAAACCGATGCATTTAGATTGGTGATTACACGGACTTGGCTTACAACAATTATTCACTGTGGGAGAAAAAAAAAGAATAAAAAAGAATAATCCCGTGTGGAAATCTGCCCAAGTTAGCCCAGTTAAAAACTGGGAGCCAGCTGGGCCCCACCTGGGCTTCCCATTTTCATAAAAATATTAACATTATAATAGAAAAAGTCTGAAAATTAAATATAACTATTCACAATAAATCATTCTACAATTAATTCATAATAATAATAATCATTATTATTTTAAACAATTTATTATTGTCAATAATTATAAACTTTTATTGTACTACACTAACAGACATTTAGTTTTATTGAAATTTTAAAGTTGTTCCAGCTGAATTTATTTATTTAATAATTAACTCATCAAGGTATAACGGTTTTTAATACATTTTAATAATTGTTTA